CTTCGCTGCAATGCAATTCTACTCAAAGCTTGCATCAGAATGTGAATAACTAACATTTATAAGTTATTATATTTTGTTTTAGAAAAAACAAATTAAGGTGTGACAACACCCATCTTGGATTATTTTATATAATAATAGTACTATATGTGAGCTTCAATATTCAATATAGAAAGGGGGTTCTAAAATTCGTGCGCGGGGGTCAAAATCGAGTTTTCCCAAATTCTGTATCTAAACACATGTAATTCTACGGCTTATTTCTCGATAATGAGAATTTCTCGGATCCTGATTTATGGCTCATTTGTTAGCTTAATATGTGTATTTAAAGTGGTATAAATTTATTTCATATACCAATGGTATGCCATATAATTATAATGGAAAACAATTAATATATAATGTTATTCTATGGGATATTCTTTAGTTATAATTTTATAGTTATGTGTATATGATAATAGTGTTTTATTCTGGAGAGTCCTCACACTATAATTTTAATAGCAGAATTTTCAATATTCTGTTGAATAGAATAAAAATATTTATACTTAATTTGAAAAAAAATTTTTTCAAACAGATTATAATCTAAAATAAAAAGTGAAAATCTAAGAACTGTAAATATTTTATTGAATAATATGGTATATTTTAAAATGAATTCAAAGAAAACTTTAATAATAAATAATGTACTTAAAAAATAAATATTGGTTTAAGAAGCTAACATACAATCAAGGAATTAACTATTTTTCTCCGTTACCGATTTAATACTCGAAAACGGATAATCCAATCCTAATCCTCTCTTCACAGTTTTATAGCCCCTACCTTGTGGATTGTAAAAATAATTTTTATTGTATACAAAACTACCATGGTAACTGCGGTATTTAAGTTTGAAAAAAGAGGTTTTTACATTGAAATACATTAGTTTTGGTTATAAAAAAATTCATAATGCAAAACTGGTGCCTGTGTACTTCTCGGAGTCGATCATCAGTTGCACGAAATCCGTTCGCCGACTGTTTGTATACTTATTATTGTGTTTCCGTTCCCTCAGTATCTGATTGGTTAGGACATCGAAATAGGTCGCGGCCTCGATGTCAAAGAACTCCATCTTAAAAAATTTGGCCAAATTGGGGGCCAGTATGCCGACCACCTGGCGCCAGGTGGTGTCCGCCCCTAGTATGCGTTTGGCGTGTGTGACCACCGGGTGATCAGGGTTGTTTAGCGAGTCGATGCTAATGCCGTACGCGCACGCGCTGATGACGTCCATCGCAAAACAGCCGACTAATTCACGTATGTTAAATGGCTCACCTAGGTGATTGTATAAAATTTTAAAAATTATAAATATATATATAATTAATTAAATATTACAAAATTGTATGTTACAAGTTGAAAATGTATACACTTTGTTTAATCCAGTTTATTTTTATGCTTATTTCAAATCATATTTTTAAAAAGCTATATTGTTTAAGTTACAGTTTTAAAATATAAAAAAGTTTTTGTGATAAACTATAAATTGTCTTCATTGTATTATATATCTTATTAAATAGCATACATTTCCTAGTACAGGTAGCTTAATTTAAATATAAGATATTGTTTTAAAAAATATTAACACAAGTTAAGTGTTTATAAAATTACGACACAATATCATTATACTTAAGTTAATTTTATCTCAATTTTTTATCTAATTAACTGAAAGACTACTCGTAATATGATAGCGTTTATAGTTAGATAACACAATAATCATATAACAAACAATTATTGCACATACCTGATTTTGCATACTTGTCCATGTTGCCAATAAACTTATCCGACAGATCCGATATGTGTGCCATCATAGCTTTTAACTTGCCGGATGTGAACGCCGGGCCCATTAGCGACCGGATCCTTTTCCACTGGTCATTACCGGGCAAAAAGAAAATGCTCAGGTTGATTTTGGAGTTGCCTGTGTTAAAGTGTTTGTGATCGGGGAATATGTGAAAGTCCTTGATCATGATGTCCTTAAGTAGCTCGGGATCATTGACGGCAATTGTGCGCCGGGTCAGGTCGTACGAGCCGTACACACGTCCGTACTTTTTGTACGCCCATTGGGTGTACTCGTGGTGGGGCTGAACCATGGCTCCGAACTCCATGTGGTTGGGTCCGGGAACTCCATGCCGGGCCCAGTAGGTGAACCGGTGCCGTAAGTAACTGTTTATGATTTTTAAATGGAATTAAGTATTGGTAAGCTTTTAAATTAAATTACAATTAATTAATTTAGTGATGGTATTTATTTTCTAGTAGCTAGCTAAATATATGTAAAGTACGGTATAACATGATAAAGCATATTAATGTTATAATATTGTGTTTAAAGTTTAATTAATGTTAAATATTTATAAATAACTATATTTATTAAGAGTTGTAAACTTATATATATATATATAGTTTTAAAATAATGTTTTTGTTTGTAAAATATAATTAATGAGACACAATATCAAGGACAATTTCTATTTGTTATTAATTTTTAGATTTAATAACTCTAAAAACTTCAATTTTACTTACATTGCAATACTGGTGATGACGACCACAACACTGGTTACGTACGGATGAGTTGACCACAAATTAGTTATGAAATCCATAGTTAAGCAAAAATAATTAAAATTCAATATACGCTAAGAAAATAAAGTCTAATCCAATATGTGTTTTGTTAATTTAAACACTTTTAAACTTAAGTATATTATTATAGTGAATATTTGAACAAAGGTATAGTTTTATAAATTGTGGGCAAAAATGTACTAGCATAGTGCATACATGCGCATTATTGTATATGCACTAAATTCATATGCAATAGTATTAGGACGTTTTCAAGGTAATATGCGTACACCCATTATTAGCTATGCTCAATGCTAAAATAACAAACACTTTAGGACATTTATATGATAAGCATTTAGGTATACTTGAGTTTAGTACATTTTATTGTGCCTACATGTTTTATGATTTGTATTGTGCATGGATGAGCTTTAGACCTAAATTAGTAGGTGCAAAATATTTTGTATGGTTTAGTACAAATCAACTGGTTAAAATGTTAAGTAATATATAAATATTTTTAGTGAGTAAATAACTTAATTAATAATAGTTAAGGTTGCATGATTATATCTTAAAATAATTTTATTTTCATTTTATTTTTCAAAATTAAACCAAATGACTACATAGATAAGTTAATAATAATAATTAAAAAATTAGTTTAATAGAGTAGTGTTTACACGTAATCCGGAAATTTGTATTAAAAAATGGTTAATTGACAAAACAATAAGCGTATTATTAATTTACAGGTTTTTGTTATTTTAATAAAAATGTATTAAATTCGATGAATCTGCTTGATAACTTTTAATTTTGATTTATTTTATATTATAATAGAAGCTTTTAATATGAATGTTAATATTCTAGATTTTAAAAATATTTAAGTTTTATGTGGATATAAAATGTAATTTTTAAAATATCTCAAATCGTACCCGTTTAATATTAAACGTAAATTAATTTCTATATTAATATTAAATAATTTATAGTTTTATTTTTTGTAATAAATAAATCCTTAGCTTGTTAGGATAAGATTTATAGGTTAAATAATTGTAAATTTTATAAAATTGTATCAACTACACATTTTAATTGTAGGTGACATAACGTAATATGAGCGCTATATTGATTTAATAAGTATCTTGATTAAATTAATAAAATTTTATTAAATCTAATTTTATGTCCAACAAGATGTTATTCCGAAAGATTTATCAAGCAATAGATTATTTAATAAGATATTAATTTAAGATTTATGTACAGCTTTAAGCGGTTTTTAGATTTATTAAATTGCATTACTTTCAATAATAACTTTTAAAATTAAATCTCATATAACTTAATTATAATAAGTAAAAAATTTAATTTATTATATTAATATAGGATTTATGAACTGACCCCAGAAAAACTTATTAAAAATTGCTTATTTATAAAACAATAAGTATATGATTTATTTACAGGTTTGCACCATTTTATTTAAAATGTATTGTATTACTTTAGACAAATCGCCTTGATATAATGTTAAGTTTGTTTTGTTTCATATTTTGAAAATTATGATTAATACTTATGTTAATTTTTACAATTTAATAAAATATAAGAAACTGTGTATAATTTAATATAAATTAAATGTATAGTAATATTAAATAATTTACAGTTTTATTTGCATTAATAATTAGATCCATTGTTAGCACCTACATTCCGTTAGCATTTATAATTTAATTAATTTTAAATTTTATAAAGTATCGTAAACTTTATAAACTTTTAATTGTAGATGAGGTAACATAATTTATTAAGTAAATAGCTTGGTTATATTAACAAAATCTTATGAAATTTAAATTTATGCAACATTTATTAATTAGTGATTTACTTTGTAATATGAATAAAATAATATAGACTTAAGTTATATAATAAAATAGTATTATAAATAATTTAATAAACACTAACAAAATAAATAAAAATTAAACTTAATATAACCAATAATTAACTTGTTAATGATCTTAATTAATATTATTAGAAAATAGAGAATCATGTACAGTTACATTAAATAAACATAAGCTATTTTATAAAAATATCTTGTTAATCTGATTAAAATATGTATAACAAAACATAATATAATAATTAAAACAAATTCATTAAAATTTTAATAAAAATATTATTTATAAATATATTACTATTATTAATAATTAACTAGCCTGTACCAAATTATCGGGCCTTAATTGTGACAATTAATTTCTTGGGCGACATAAGGGGAACGCCATAAAAATATTCCAGTTTAGGCTCCTGGGCTAAGGTAAACTTATACCGGTGCAATAACTTAGCCAGGCACATTCGCATCTCATTCATGGCAAACCGTTGTCCAATGCAAACACGAGGTCCGGCCCCAAAGGCCTGGAAAGCTAAGGGATGGTGTGTTGGTTCAAACCATCGGTCGGGTATGAAGTCGTCGGGATTGGGCCAGTACTCCGGGTCCCGGTGTATGGCATACGGGTATATCTCGACCGAAGTTCCCGCCGGTATTGTTATGCCTGGTGAGATAAATAAAAATTAATATTTTAATAAAATTTTAAAACCCGAAGTCTGCAATTTCCAATTAATTTAATAGAAAATATTTTTTTAAAATATAATAATTAAATTATAATTAAATTATAATTAAATTATAATTAAATTACAGTTTTACATGATATTTTAACGTATAGATTAATTTTGGTACTTTTGTTTTGTATGTATTCATTTTTTAGTTTATAATCTGTGTAATAATTTATTTCTAGCAAATCATAATACACTATGATTAGTTACCAATATATTGTACTTGTAATATAAACTAATTTTTTATACTGTATCATTAATTATTAAAATTATCCATCTTGACATCTATTTCCAGTAAAATTAACTACTTAATTTTAGATATTTTGTTTTTAAAAATTATTAGTATATTAAAGTTGTACTATGATATTTTTTAAATTTAGTTATTTACCAGTATTCCCAAGTTTATAGTCTTGTAGGCATTCCCTGGCATTACGGGTCAGCGATGGGGACAGACGTAGTGTTTCATTTATTACAGCATTTAAATATTTCAAATGAACCAGGTTATCGTACGTAAACTTATCACACTCCTTTAATTCTTCATACAATTTGGTCTGACAGTCCATATTTTGCGACAAATAATATATAGCATTAGCTATGGAGGCACTGGTAGTGTCGTAACCGGCGATATATAACAGCATTCCCTGCGCTGTGAGTTCATCTGGGGTTAGGGAACCCTTGGGTTTACCCGCGGTTTGGGACTCCTCTTCGGGAGTGGGGTCGACATCACTACTCGAGTCGTAACCCAAATCCCGATTAGACTTCTCGGAGTCGATCATCAGTTGCACGAAATCCGTTCGCCGACTGTTTGTATACTTATTATTGTGTTTCCGTTCCCTCAGTATCTGATTGGTTAGGACATCGAAATAGGTCGCGGCCTCGATGTC